CCTCCCCTCCTCGTTGTCACCTTGCACCTCGGGGTGCTTCATGAGGAACAGGAAGCCGAAGCGCAGCGTGGAGCTCACGGTCTCGGTGCCGGCGAAGAAGAGGTTGAGCGTGGTGAGCTCCAGGTTGCGCTCGGTGAACTCCGAGCCCGGCTTGTCCTTGTCCTTGCGAAGCGCCAAAAATGGGGAAAATGGCACCAAAATGCCCTGGAGGGGAGGGGGTTTTTGCAGGCGCTCCCACCCACCTTCTCCATCTGCAGGAGGAAGCAGTCGATGAAGTCGCGGGGGGCGGCGGGGTCGAGCGTGTCGCGGTTTTGCCGCACGCGGCGGGCGACGAAGAGCCGCATGCGCTCGAGCAGCCGCGAGATCGTGCGGTGGGGCCCGGGCAGCAGCTCCAAGAGGCCGTTGCTCATGTCGTGGAACTGCGGCGTGCAAAGAGGCACCGCATGCATGCGCGTGCAGCGGTGCATCCCGCTGCACATGCATGCATGGGCGCTCCTTGCATGCGCCTGTGCGTGCAAGCGCGCAGCCACCCATGCAGCCGCATGCGCATCGGTGCAACGGTTTAGCTGCCCATGCAAGCAGCTGTGCACCTGCCCATGCATCTGCATGCTTGCGCATGCAACCATGCGCCGATGCAACCGTGTGCCGATGCATCCGTGCCTCTACGCAACTGTGCACCAATGCAAACCTGTCCCGTTGTAAGCCTGCGCCAATGCACCAATGCAATCATGCGATGATGCAATCGTGCATGGATGCAGCCGTGTGCTGATGCGCCTATGCACGCATGCACCAATGCAACTGCATTCCAATGCATCCATGCGCTGATGCATCCATGTGCTGGTGCACCCGTGCAATGATGCACCAAAGCAAACACGTGCTGAAGCAACCGTGCACGATGCAACCGTGCACCGTTGCAACCATGCAGCGCTGCACCCATGCAGCGCTGCACCTGCATGCGCGCCCACCTGCGCCCGGGGCGTGCTGATCTCGCGGAAGATCTCGTTCATGAGCTGCAGCATCTCCTGGAATTCCTTGTCCTCGTAGTCGAAGCGGTTGCCGAAGACGATGGAGCAGATGACGTTGGACACCGCCTGGCTCAGCAGGTACGTGGGGTCGAAGGGCTTCTCTGCGGGGACAGCGGGTCGGGTTCGCGTGGCCCCACAGCGGGACCCGCCGCGGGACCCCCCGTGCCCACCTTGGGTGCGCTGCAGCTCGCGCAGCAGGAACGTGGCCTCCTCCTGGATGCGCTCCTCGATGGTGCGCTTGCCCATGCCGAAGTCGCGCAGGACGGTGAGCGAGAAGCGCCGCAGCTGCCGCCAGCGCTCGCCGTTGGCGAACACCACCCCTGCGAGGCCAAGCGCGCCCGTGTGAGCACCGCGAGCGCTGCAACACCCTGCAGCAACCTGCAAGCATCTGCAATGCCCTGCGAGTGCCTGCAACCGCCTGCAATTGCCCGCAACCACCTGCAACCCCCTGTGAGCGTCTGCAACCCCCTGCAAGCGTCTGCAAGCGTCTGCAACCCCCTGGGAGTGCCTGCAAGTGTTTGCAACCCCCTGCAAGCGCCTGCAACCCCCCTGTAAGTGTCTGCAACCCCCTGCAAGCATCTGCAACCCCCTGGGAGCCCCTGCAACCCGCTGCAAGTGTCTGCAACACCCTGCAAGCGCCTGCAACCCCCCTGTAAGTGCCTGTAACTCCCTGCAAGCACCTGCAACCCCCTGCAAGTGACCGCAACCCCCTGTGAGCGCCTGCAACCCCCTGCAAGCATCTGCAACCCCCTGCGAGTGCCTGCAACCCGCTGCAAACGTCTGCAAGCATCTGCAACCCCCTGGGAGTGCCTGCAAGTGTCTGCAACCCCCTGCAAGCATCTGCAACC